TATTTATAGGATCCATCCGGTACAATGTGAGTGCTTTCTTCCACTGTGTAGCTTATACAGGAGTTGCTAGTTTACAGGGAATTAAATGTGTTTGACCTTATACATGAAGGAACAGTGGAATGCTTGGTTAGAAGACAGAGAAACCAAAGGACCAAAGCAAGATGTTAAAAAATTAAAAAAAATGTTCATTTCATAGGTTTTGTTTTAAATTCACAGTCAGTGACTGGTGGTTCCTGAAGAGATATGCAGGCCAGGTGGCCCGAGTCCCAGGACCATCTCCACCCTGAACTTCTTCGGAACTTGAGCCGTCGTTGAGCTTTTGGGCTCCATTTCTTCTTCACCCAGTTCCCTTGGAATTGCTCGGAATTACTGTTTGAACACACCAACCAGTGTTGTTACTGAGTCACAGGGAAATTATAAATACTTGATGGTTTAAAATAACCAAACAGGGTTAAAGGTGAAGCGGTTTATTAGCGTGAAGGCTTCTCTTCTCTTATTTTCTGTGCCGTCCTTTCTCCACCACATTCAGCCTCAGAATTGCCCGGTTGTACTTAAGGCAGGCAAGCAATAGGAAGAGGAAAACAGTCACAGATTTCTACTGTTCTCTCTTGTATAAGACATCTGTGTAAGGCAGAGGTTCTCGATAGCCTCTGTTCTTGGTGATTAATTTCTTTTTGAAGATTGCCTTTGTTATAGAGTCCTAAGCATGTATAATTAAGGGTAGAACTTATTCACTTGTGTTAACAGTTTTTAAGACTCATTTAGATGCAAAAATACAAAGGTTGAAAATTAGGTACCATTTTAATTGAAAGCAAAAGCAAACTTTTTTTTTGAATGCAGTCTGACTTGTCTTTCTTAGAAATATTCAGTTAAGGTTTTTTTTTTTTTTTTTAAATTTGCTACCTTATCTTAATATACGTTTTATTTGCATGGGAAATATGATACCTATTAAAAGAATAGAAATTGTTTACTGTTAAACATTAGGAAAGTGTTTTGGCTAAAGGGAAGTAAATGTTCTAAGAGGTTCATTGGAAGGGCATTTTAATGATTAACACTAACTGCATTAACCAGCAAGGTTACTAGTTTATTTTAATTTAGAGATTTCTTCTGTTTTGGTTCTCCGTTAATTTCAGTATTTTGAAACTCTCTAAAGCTCAGGATACACACCAAACAAATGCAAACTAAAGTGAGTTTTAGATGTTTGTGTGGCTTCACTCATCTCTTTGATTCTGTGTGTTTAGTGATTCAAAGGAATTTGATGTATTTCAGAGTTCGTGTGGCACTAACAGTTTTTTACAGGACAGCAGGCTGCTTTGGCAAATACAAAGCAGTAGAGTGTGTGGTTCAGGGTGGGTGGAGCCAACGTCCAGCCTGTGTTATACTCACCAAGCCCAGTGCCTTGGAGGGAGGCCGTGTCCACCTGGAGTTTGGGACAGCTTGGCCTTCTGGCCGAGTCGTGTGCCATTTCACACAGAGTTTTTTGTGTTTTGTTTTAATTCACGTAAAGATGCATGTAAGTTCATTGCAACACTGATTCTAAGAAAAATAAAAGTGGTAAGGTCCTAAGGCTCAGTTTCTTGAGTATGTAAATGTTGTGTATGTAGTATGTATGCGATGTGAGTGTGGGTGTACGGTGTGTGTGCTATATGTGTGTGCATGGTGTGTGTGGTGTTTGTAAGTGTTGTGTGTGTGGCGCATGTGTGTGTGTGGTGTATGCATGTGTCTATGTGTGTGTGGTGTATGTATGTGTCTGTGTGTGTGTGGTGTATGCATGTGTCTATGTGTGTGTGGTATATGTATGTGTCTGTGTGTGTGTGGTGTATGCATGTGTCTATGTGTGTGTGCTGTATGTATGTGTCTGTGTGTGTGTGGTGTATGCATGTGTCTATGTGTGTGTGGTGTATTCTGTGTGATGTGTGTGTGTGGTGTATTCTGTGTGCGTGTGTGTGTGGTATATTCTGTGTGCGTGTGTGCGCTTAGGGTGACAGGGCAGGAGGAGAGGAACAACTTCATACAAAAGGAAACTGTAAAAAGCGCTAATGAGTAAAGTGATATGATTACCTTGGAGAGACCCTTCAAATGTTGTTATTTTCCAGGAGAGGACTGTCAGAAGGGCCTGGAAAGCACAGTTTTGCCGTGAGAAGCAGAGACCCTTTACCTGTGCGTTTTACAAGTGATGTGCAGAAAACCGCTGATCAGTCTACGTGGTAAGAATCGATCCGTTAAATGCTTCTGACTACAAAGTTAAAAAAATGGCCCTAACTAATATGGAAGAGGCCCTGGTGGCACAGTGGTTACAGTGCTCTCCTGCAAACTGATAGGTCAGTGCTTTGACCCCACCAGCCTCTCCACAGGAGAAAGACGTGGTAGTCTGTTTCCACAAAGATTTCAGCCTTGGAAACCCTATGGGGCAGTTCTGCTCCGTTCTGTAGGGTCACTGTGAGTCAGAATTGACTGTACAGCAACGGGTAATATGGGAAGCAAAATTAGTGATTGGCCATGAATTTCTAAAACTGAAAGGCGATTTTATTCTCAGCCTGGTGAAACAGGTACTCATAAATATTTTAAAATTAGTGTACCGTGAAATTAACAAATGTGTTTAAAGCAGGAAAGGAGTAGATTCAGAGAAGTAAGCCAGTTACCACAGAGCCTCCTCCCAGTCATCACTGTTCCCCTTGTGCTTACGCTCGTCCCTGCAGTGGATCCGTGTCATCACTTTCCTCGAGCGGGGCCACCCCGCCCCCGGAGGGACACGACTCCTGGTCTGGGACACCGAGTTCTACCACTGGCTTATCTACAGAAAGGAGCTCGATTTACTCTTGGAGAGATGATGTATGTATGATATTTCCAATCAGAAAAGCAATAAATGTGTATTGTTAAAAAAATTTACATAAAGAAAATATAAAAGGAAAGAATTACTCCTAATCCCGTAACCGCATGTTGTAGGTGTCGATAGTTCCCCCCAACGCCAGCACCCCCGAGTATTTTATATATGACTTCTCGTCTGATTCTATGCCTGGAAGCGCAGGGTGGTGGTGTTAGTTGCCACTGAGTCAATGCTGACCCGTGGAAATTCAGGATAGATGCGACAGTGAGGAACGCAGAGAGAAGTTTGGGAAAAGTGTGAAAAATCACCACAGTCAGGTCTGTTCTCCACGGTGGTCTAAGCCAGGTATCTTAACTTTCACCGTCTAACTCTATAGCTGAAGCTATTAACTTTAACCCCGCTTTTATTTTTTGGGGGAGTGGGATTCTCACCTGAGTGAGCTTCAGTCTACAACTCGTGCTTTTGTGGGGAACTCCGCTGAGCCCGTGGTCTCCCTCCTCTCTGTCCAGGCGGGTTTCCCTGAGAATCCTGGGACACAGCCTTGTCTGTGGAGCCTCTAGGACAGCAAGACGTGCTATTTTAACTCCTCGTCTGCTTTTCTTTGCCTTCTTTAAAATCATTCCTCCACTCGTCACAGTCCACGTGCATCTCCTTTCTCTTGTAGTAGGAACAGTGATTCTCAAACGGTCGTAAGTGGAGTCTGGAAGGGGATCAGCTCAGAATCACTCAGAGATTTTCAAACTGTATATGACCTCCTCATTTATGACAAACCGCCCTCTCTTCCACCCCTCACCCCACTCACGGCCACCCCCACTCACACCCTTATACCTCTGGGATATTCCAGTGGGAAGAAGACTGAAACCATTATTTCACACTGCCCAAATTCTAGGAATCTTTTAGTACAAATGTTTAATGTAATTATTCAGGGAGATTCTTATGACTTGCATTTATAGCATCTGAAATACTCCAGACAGCATGATTGCTTTTAATTTTAATTTTTTGTTTACTTTTTGATAGGTAATATTTGAAAAAACAAAACACTGAAGGTAGAGAAATTAAAGGGTACCCTCACCCATGCCCCAGACACCCAGTTCCCTCTGGGAGACACACACAGTTATTAGTTGTCCCCTTATTTGCATTTTAGAAGAGATCATTCAACTCCTTTGTAATCTGGAAATTCAGATTATTGTCAATTTGAGGGAAGATGTAGCGTAGGAAATATTGAAAAGCATTTCTATGAAAATTAGTCTGAATTGCCCACTTTGGATCAGGGACGTCAGACTGAATGCTCATTTAGTTGTTTTGAGTTGTAGAGTAGATTCCACGTCCCCATGTCTCTGGAAGAAAGCTTAGCTGGGGCTCGTGCCTCTGCGGTGCTGGCTCCCGCAGCTGCAGTAACGTGTATGTTCTCTTCATTGACTGCGACTTTCCCGAAAGGGTTGTAGGACTGTTACCTTTCAACCAAGGAGAACATCCGGAAAGGCCAAAGGGTTTTCTTACCCACAGTTCACAGGGCAGGAGCCTCTTGAGGCTTGACAGAAAAAATCAAGTCTGCTTCATCCTAATCATTAAGCTATTATTTACTAATTATATTTTAATTTATATATTTATTATTTATATTTATTTATATTTATAAATTAATTAATAATTATCGTAAGTATTAAGCAATCCTGAGTTATTAAGGTAACTGGGGATTACTTTCTTCATTGATTGAAAGAAGGTAAATGGCCTTTTCTACAAAAGTAATTACCTTTTCAGTGGTATTATCCGAAGGAAAAAAATACGTTGTATTCTGCAGGCATGCTTAGGTATGCCAGGTACAACTCTAGGAAGGATGTGTGTGTGTATGTCTGTGTGTGTGTGTCTGTGTGTGTGTGTGTCTCACAACTCACGTGGTGGAAATGACCTCTTTTTAACAGCTAAAGGAACTGAGGCTCAGAGTGACATGCAATTTATCAAAAGAGTAAAACTCTGAACGCCGGTATATCTGACTGCAAAGTCCACAGTCTTTTCAGCATGTCATATTCCCTCCTACATAATGGGTTCCTGTAGATGTATGAGCATCCCTGACTGTAAAGCCAGGATTTCTACAACTTTCAGTCTTGGGGCTAAATACGCGTTTCCGTTTCAGGAGTTTGATGAAGCCAACGCACAGGAAGTGCAGCAGTTGTTCTGGGAGGTGGAGGAAATGTTATTTGAAGGGAGAGTAAGCGCACAGACCCAGAATCTGCAGGCTGAATGCAGCGAGTGGGCCGCGAGGTCCCTCCACCTGAGGTAGGGAAGTGGTTAGTAGTGATTCTCTGGAATGCCTTTTGGACCACCCACTCCTGACTTGGATTTGTAATCAATACATTGTGGCTGAAAGCACCCTGCCCCGTCAAAATATGTCCCCACTGAGAAATCACATCCTTTGTTATGGTGTCTGGGGAAATAGTGAAAGATCCCAACACTCAGGAGTGTTTTAATTTGTCAGAAGCAAATCTAGCTCATCCTCCAAATGGCATTGCATAGGTAACAAAAGCAAGAATGATGGAATTAATTCTTTACCTTTATGTTCACTAGCATGTGAGCAGCACACACCTGTCGTCAGCGTTGAGAACAGTTTGGGGCAGAATGATTGGATCGATGAATCTTACATTCCTTATGGAGGAAGCATAATTTATGATCGTTATGTAGGGAGATTCCATTTTTTTTTTTGTTACCAAAGATGGAGAACATAGATTTGGTATGAAGGGAAGCTTTCCTTCCTTCAGTCAATTAGGCAGCCTCCTTAGGTGGAAACTAGGTAACTTTTTTTTATCCTGACTAAGTACTTTTTCTTCTTTTTAATCCTGCCATAAAAAACCTCCCTGCCTTGACTAATGGGTCACAGCAGTCCAGGGACAAGGACTAGAAGGCAGGAGGGGACAGGAAAGCCAGTGATAGGAAACCCAAAGTTGAGAAAGGACAGTGTTGACATGCTGTGGGGCTGTTACCCATTGTCATAGGGCAATATGTATACTAACTGTTTAATGAGAAGCTATTTGTTCTGTAAATCTTCATCTAAGGTACAAAAAAAAAACAAAAGAATTATCCATGTGAGATCAAGTTGACAACAGCAACTCAAAACGTTTGATGAAAGAGAAAACAAGAAAAAACTCCCTGCCTTAAAGACTACAGCGTGTTCGGGGATTGTTCGCTAGATACCAATAGTGAATATGCTTACTCTTCTAGAAATGATGCGTTTACCAAAATGCCAGGGTCAGACCTGCTGTCAGTGTTGTCTTACATAGTGAGATAACAATGAAGGCGAGAGGGTAGAAAAAGAGAAGATTGCAAGGTACATAAGCAGTGTATACATTAATATCCTTTTCTTCATTATGTGTAATATTAGATAACATTTATAGAGAGCATCTATGTGCTCAGTATGGCCCTAGACATGTGACATATGTTATCTCTAAGTACGTCTTACCAGGTAACTATTATTATTCCATTTTGCAGACAAAAACCAAACAAACAAACGAAAACAGTGGCTAAGAGACGCAGAGAGCTTTGCCTACAGCCAGTCAGTGTTCGGAACTGTTGGCACCGGGTCTGCCCCCCGCCACAAGCCCATGCTTTCTCTGTGACGCCATCCGCTTCCCATGAACCACTACGCACCTTATCACTTCACACACAGCCCATCAGAATCATTATTGTATCCTACTTTTAAAATCTCAAGATACCTTTCCCTTTCCCAGTCAAAAACATTAGTAGTTTTTTTTTTGTTTTTTTTTTTTTTTTGTACCATGCAGAGTATTAGGAAGACAGCTCATCCTGCCAGCTGACAAAGGCTTCCAGCATTTCCGGGGCAGTGAGCCTAGTCCTGTGGCCCACAGGCCCTTCCTGGATGCCTGTGAGAGCACCAGCAGCATCAGAGAGTACGTCTGTATCAATTACTTGTGAGAAGTGGTTTTAACTATATTTTAGTTACGCTTTTTCATGTTTATCTCACCCATGAGCCTTGCCTCTGCCTGTTTGCAAATTTAGGTTTGAAGGAAGGTGCAGAGCATTTTTTCCACAAGCTGCTTCTGATTCTAAATGTATCATATGTGCTAACTTTCCGTCAGCAGCTGAGCGCTTAACCAGTGTGCCACCAGGGCTCCATACGCATGTATTTATTTGCATATATGTATTTATTTGCAAAGGAGTTAACATCAGCTTCCATTCCAAAGGCACTGTGAAAGGCAGGCTTGGTGCAGAATCAAAACCTGCCTCCTTGTGATGAATCCTGAGCCCCCAAGGCTGTGGTGGAAGAAGAAATAAGGCTCAGCCCTGCTTTCTTTTGCTCACTCACAGTCTGTGATAACTCTCTCTCTACTTGCGCATATATTTGTTCCCTGATAGCCATCACTAGACAGACTATACAAACTCATAGAATCATTTAGGCTTTCAAGAATTTCCGTGATGCCTGTGTCAAAATGTTAAGGATGTGAGTTTGGTCAAATGCAACATTTAATGATTTTTAATTTGGAATGCTGTAATTTTTGCATAATTAAAGCTCAGCTGTGGTCGTGGTGGTCCTGTGTGATCACCGTGCAGCTCTACAGCCTCCCATACAGAATCTGCCTCTCCCCACAGCCTGTGCGTCTCTGGCTGTCAAATCCTGCCGGCAGTGCCCTCAGCTCCTGCCCTGCCTGGGCCTCAGAGCACGGGGATCGCTGACCTGGGGGCGTGTTCACTTCTGGAAGAAGAGATTTATGATGCGGAGGGAAAGATTGAAGAGTATTTTGCTTTTGATGGAAAAGAAGAGTAAGTAGAATTTTATTTGATGTTGATTTTCTAATATAAAAGTAATTAATTTACTTGGAGTTTATTTTTACTATATGCTCACTGAGTGTATTGTGTATCTTTTACTTACACAAAAGCCTTTCCACTCTTTTGAGTGTAAAGTGCTCCCAAAAAGTTTTTCAATGACCAGCAGGAGGTATCTATTCTAGAGCAGTGCTTCTCCTCCTTTTTCACAACATGGCACAGACAGAAAATGAGAGTATGTGTCACCATGCTGGTGACAATGGACAATGCCACCAGAGCAGACCTCCGTGCCACGGACTCAGACACACAATTCCCGACTTGCCCCAAGGGCAGAGGGAAATCCCAGTCTCTGCGCTACTAGGTGAATATTTGGCTCGTAAACAGAATCTCTGAATATTTTTAAATAAAAATTTGCCACTTGATTGAAAATTGGTATATTAGAGAAATAACAAGTTTCTAACTTAAAAAAGAAAGTCATATTTATTTACATGTATGAGTGTATGTACGAGCGTGAATGTTAGATAGCTCGATTGATAGATAGCATTATTTTAACTTTAACCGTTGATAGTTTTAGTAATTAGAATGGGTCTTTATCCTTAGAGACGATGAGTGTCTTGGGCATAAAAAAGTTCACCATGGAAGAAAGTGGCGTAAACATGGATTTCCTCCCATCTCCCCTCACGACTGCATCAGAGATGCGGTGGACACAGAGGTGTTTGATCACATCTGGAGAAACGTGGTAGAGTTATTGGAAGAGCTGGTCAGAAATCACTGGGAAACCTCGCTCGCAGGTACATATGTGTGGGATTTGGCGAAACGAAAAGAAAAAATAAACCCTCTTCCTCAGCTGTGTGCCATCCCACCTTGGCCTTGCCCAGGACATGACTGGGATGAGAAAGGAAGCAGGTTTTCTGAATAAATTCTACAAAGTCATCTTTAATCACTTCAAAAGGATGTTATTACTTTTTTGAATTATAAAAAATAATGCATTTTCATTCTGGAAAATTTGTAAGGCACAGAAACACATATCAAAGAAGAGAGAAGTCACTTCCCTCTTCCAGATGTGATCATGTTGACATTATACTTCCCAAGCCCTTTAATAATATAGATTTTAACATGACTGAGTCAAATTGTACATATCATTGTATAACCTACTCTCTTTTACAATTTAATATTTAGTGACTGTCCTTAAACAGGAGTTTTTAAAATGGCCAGATAGTATTATATCATAGGAATTTATTGTAACTTACCTAACTGATCTATAATAATAAGACATTTGTTTTTAATTGTTCATGATAATTAATATTGCTGTGAATAATATGGGGACATTATTTGTAAGGTAAAATGCAAGCATAACTAATAATCACTTCATTTCAACTTAGTAAATGTTCTGTAAACTACTTAAAATTGAGCAGAAACCAAAACGAAAAACCAAAGCCACTGATGTTGAGTTGATTCTGACTCACAGCGACCCTACTAGACAGAGTAGAACTGCCCCATATGGTTTCCAGGGCAGTAATCTTTATGGAAGCAGACTGCCACATCTTTCTCCTGCTGGTGGGTTCGAACCTCTGACCTTTTTGGTTAGCAGCTGAGCACTTCACCACAGCACCACCAGGGCTCCTTGAGCAGAAACAAATTACAGACGTATCAGTGGTGAATGTTAATGCCTAGTTTTATGTACTTAGTTTATACATAGGGTAATAATCATGTTAATTTAAAAACTATTGCTTTTCCAACCCAAAAAATTACTTGAGCTTTCATAAAATACCAAGGATCTTCATTGCCCCAGGGTATAATCCCTGTTTTTCTACATACCACTGAAAAGATAGGCATTCCCTTCTCTGAGGTGACCATTTAGCAGAATCACAGATTGGCACAGAAAATAAAGGATATTACGCGTAAGCATGGGCTCCATTAAGAAACCATCTCTACGAGATCAAAAGGTCAACAATTACTGTATTTTTACGCAAATAACACACACCTTCTGTTTGTTTGCCAACCACGTCCTCTCTTCTGTGAGGTATTTTCATAAGTACTATACCTTTTTTTTTTTACAGCAACAAGTAAAAAAAAAAAAATGGCATAGCCAAGCTAATGAAAATACCTAGTGGTGGGGAGGGTGCTTTATTTGCATAAAAATACGGCACTCTAAAACAAAGATGAGAAGAAAAGGGGGGCAGGGAAACTAGAGTACTGGAAATGGAACAACCAGAACGCAGTTGATGAGAATGTTGACACATTGTGAAAAACGTAATTAATTCACTTAACAACTTGTATACAAATTGTCAGATGGGAACTTAATTTGCTGTGTAAACTTTCACCAAAAACACAATAAAATATTATTAAAAAAAAAAAAGACAGGCATTCCATTATGTGCATTCAGAAAAGCAAGTTGTTGTTGTCGTTAGGTGCCATGGAGTTGGTTCTGACCCACAGAAAATCATCACATCTGCCAATTGCTGCTTGGTGCACTAGCATAGACTCATAGTAACTCAAGAATAAATACTGTCTTTGAACAGTGAATTTTGAGTGCATGTATTAGATCATCTGATGTTTAACATGATGTGTTTATTAAATGTATAATTATAATATCCATTTTTTATGTTGACACAGAAGGAAAAAGAAAGAAAGAAAAATTGAAAGTAGCTGAAAATAAATCTCAACACATACTTATTTCTCGTTTTAACACTGATACACCAAGGGTTCCCCCATCCAGAAGTTCTGAAACTCGAAGCATGTCTCATCTCATTCCACTTCAGGTAGATGCTTTTCCACTAGTCTCTCTCTTTACCTCAATCTTTGTATCTCTTGTCTCAGTTTGTCAAGGGAATTATTCTACTAAATTCTTTTATTAAGATATTTGGGTCTGTTTGCCAATGGACCAAAATTTATCATGATTATTTCATGAAGTTTAATAGAAGGACCAATTCTTTAACGGAGCAGGGACCCTCAGATTTGAGGTTCTCCACCTGTGTAGAGCTGTTTTACCATTTTGGGAGAGAAAAAAAAAAATTCTTTCCCCCTAATATTTTTAGTCAATTTGAAGATTGTAAATGTTCTCCTGCCTTTCCACCAAAATGATAAAATAATTAATCAATGAGTATATATGAGGTTCATTCAAAATTGATTGAGTTTCTACTAAGTGTACTGAATCAGGTGCTTTATGGAAGTATATAAATGAATAAAACATAGTCCCTGACACTAGTAAAACATGAAGTACAACACAAGATCAGATGTAATAAATTCTGTGAGAGATGTGCCAAAAGTATTGTAGGAGGATAAAGAAGGGAGTAATTAGTCCTGACTAGAGCTTGAGGTTTGATTTTTTAGATTGGAGGCGAAATTTTAGCGGAGACATGAAGAAATCAGGAGCGCTTTCATGGGCTGAAGGAGTCCATGTAGATCATTCTAGGCAGAGCAAAGGCATGGCTGAAGGAAGGCTGGAGGATATCTGGTGAACAGTGATTGGCCTGAGGTGTTAGACAGCTGGACACTGAGAACAGCAGAGACCTGGTGGCAAGAACAGGGGATTTTGAATCCAGAGGCTTGTAAGAAGTATTATTTGGGGCATGTTGTCTAACTTTTCTAAAATTTTGCTTCCTTACCTGTAAAATGAGGATAATAACCCTTAGTCCGAGTGATTGTTGTGAGGATAAAATCACATATATACATGAAAGCTCCTTATGGAGAATCTGGCATTTAGTAGACACTCAGCACATTTTTCTCTAATCTCATCCACATTCAAAGATCTTTTAGAAGCTGGGATTGGGCAGGATGGGCTTGCCCATGGGAGGCTCTAGTGGTGCTCAGGAGTCTGGACTTTTTGTTTTGCACAGCTCATCTTGTGGGGGGGAACCGAGACGAGGGCTTAGACAGGATTCCCGGTCTTGAGTTGCATTCAGTCTAGTTGGAGGGATAGGACTAGAGGAGCAGGCAATACCAAACAATGCAAGTTACGAACACAACTCGCACCACAGAAGAGACGGTATAATAGAGGGGCTCATAAGTGCTGAGGAGTTCAGAGGGAGCCAAGTGGAATGAGACATGAACTAAATCCAAAGTGATAGGTAAGATTTGTCCAGCTGAATATGGAATAGACTTGTTTTACTCTCTAGTGCAGGGGCTTTACAATAAGTCCACTTCCCTTTTGCTATTCAAAAGAAACTTTTTGGAATTGTATTTTTGGGTCTGTTTAAGTTTCTCTGATAGGTTCAGTGCAGTTATTTTCCACTTCATTTACTATGCAGTACAAATCTCGTAAAAATGAACAGTTGATGACAATATACAAAAGAATCTTTAAATATCAAGGAAAATAAGTAGATCTGAGAAATATGGATATTTTAAATCTAAGGAGGTTTCTGTACCAATTTTATTGTTTCTCAACTACTTCATTTGGGTAAATGTTATACAAAAATGAATAAACACGAAAGTTAAAAGTAAAAACAGAATAATAATAGACCTATTTTGAAGCAGTCAAAACTTTCTAATAGTAATTACTTTGTTGTTGTTAGGTGCGTAGAGGTCCTGCGCCACCCTCATGATCATTGTTATGCTTGAGCTCATTGTTGCAGCCACTGTGTCAGTCCATCTCCTTGAGGGTCCTCCTCTTTTTCATTGACCTTCTACTTTATCAAGCGTGATACCGTTCTCCAGGGACTGGTCCCTTCTGATAACATGTCCAAAGTACATGAGAGGAAGTCTCGCCATCTTTGCTTCTAAGGAGCGTTCTGGCTGTTCTTCCAAGACAGATTTGTTAGTTCTTCTGGCAGTCCATGGTATGTTCAATATTCTTCACCTACACCATGATTAAAAAGCATCAATTCTTCTTTGGTCTTCCTTATTCATTGTCCAGCTTTCACATGCATATGAGGCGATTGAAAATACCATGGCTTGGGTCAGGTGCACCTTAGTCCTCAAAGTGACGTTTGCTTTTGAACACTTTAAAGAAATCTTTTGCAGCAGATTTGCCCAACGCAATACATCATTTGATTTCTTGACTGCTGATTCCATAGATGTTGATTGTGGATCCAAATAAAATGAAATCCTTGACAACGTCAATATTTTCTCCATTTATCATGATGTTGCTTATTGGTCTAATTGTGAGGATTTTTGTTTTCTTTATGAAGACTGTAGTCTTTGATCTTCATCAGTAAGTGATTCAGGTCCTCTTCACATTCAGCAAGCAAGGTTGTGTTATCTGCATATCACAGGATGAGTCTTCGTCCAATCTTGATGCTGTATTCTTCTTCATATAGTCCGGCTTCTCGAATTATTTGCTCAGCATACAGAGTGAATAAGTACGGTGAAAGGATACAACCCTGATGCACACCTTTCCTGATTTTAAACCATGCAGTATCCCTTTGTTCTGTTCAAACGACTGCCTCTTTGTCTATGTACATGTTCCACATGAGTACAATTAAGTGTTTTGGAATTTCCACTCTTCAAAATATTATCCATAATTTGTTATGATCTACGTAGTTGAATGTCTTTGTATAGTCAATAAGGCACAGGTAAACATCTTAATGGTAGTCTCTGCTTTCAGCCAGGATCCATCTGACATCAGCCATTATATTCCTTGTTCCATGTCCTCTTCTGAATCCAGCCTTAATTTCTGGCAGTTCCCTGTCCATGTACTGCTGCAACCTTTTTTGAATTACCTTTAGGAAAATTTTACTTGTGTGTGATATTAATGATATTGTTCGATAATTACCATGTTCTGTTGGCTCACTTTTCTTTGGAATAGGCACAAATATGGATCTCTTCCAGGTGGTTGGCCTGGTAGCTGTCTTCCAAATTTCTTGGCATAGATGAGTGAGCGCTTCCAATGTTGCATTCATTTGTTGAAACATTTCAATTGGTATTCTGTCTGTTCCTGGAGCCTTGTTTTTCATCATTTCCACTTGAAATTCTTCCTTCAATACCATCAGTTTTTGATCATATGCTACCTCCTGAAAGAGTTGAACATAGACCAATTCTTTTTGGTACAGTGACTCTATGAATTACTTCCATCTTCTTTTGATACTTCCTGTGTTGTTCAATATTTTGCCTATAGAATCCTTCAATATTGCAATTCGAGGCTTGAATTTTTTTCTTCAGTTCTTTTCAGCTTGAGAAATGCCAAATGTGTTCTTCTCTTTTGGTTTTCTAACTCTAGGTTTTTGCACATTTCATTATAATACTTTATCTTTGAAATCTTCTGTTCAGCTTTTTTACTTCATCATTTCTTCCATTTGCTTTAGCTAGTTACATTCAAGAGCAAGTTTCAGAGTCTCTTCTGACATCCATTTTGGTCTTTTCTTTCTTTCCTGTCTTTTTAATGACCTCTTGCTTTCTTCATGTATGATGCCCTTATGTCATTGAATGACTCTTCTAGTCTTCGGTTGTTAGTGTTCAATACATCAAATCTATTCTTGAGGTGGTCTCTGAATTCAGGTGGGATATACTCAAGGACTTGTTTTAATTTTCTTCAGCTTCAACTTGAGCTTGCATATTAGCAATTGATGGTCCGTTCCGCAGTTCTGGCCTTGTTCAGCGTGCTGATATTGAGCTTCTCCATCGTCTCTTTCCACAGATGTAGTTGATTTGATTCCTGTGTATTCCATCTGGCAAGGTCCATGTGTATAGTTGTCATTTATGTTGTTGAAAAAAGGTATTTCCAATGAATAGATCATTGGTCTTGCAAAATTCTATCACGGGATGTCCGGCATCATTTCTATCACCAAGATCATATTTTCCAACTACTGATCCTTTTTCTTTGTTTCCAACTTTCACATTCCAGTCACCAGTAATTATGAATGCATCTTGATTGCATGACTGATCAATTTCAGACTGCAGAAGTTGGTAGGAATCCTCAGTTTCTTCATCTTTGGTATTAGTGGTTGGTGCGTAAATTTGAATTACAGTCGTATTAACTAGTCTTCCCTGTAAGCATATGGATATTATCCTATTACTGACAGTGTTGTACTTCAAGATAGACCTTGAAATGTTCTGTTTGACAATGAATGCGATGCCATTCCTCTTCAATTTTTTATTCCTGGCATAGTAGAGCATATGATCGTCCAATTCAAAATGGCCAATACCAGTTCCTTTCAGCTGATTAATGCCTAGGATATCAATCTTCAATTTTTCCATTTCATTTTTGACAACTTCCAATTTTCCTAGATTCATACTCTGTACATTCCACATTCTGATTATTAATGGATGTTTGCAGTTATTTCTTCTCATTTTGAGTCATGCCACATCAGCGGATGAAGATCTTGAAAGCTTTACTTCATCCATGTTATTAAGGTCGACTCTACTTTGAAGAAGCAGCTCTTCCCCAGTCACATTTTGAGTGCCTTCCAACCTGAGGGGTTCATCTTTTGGCACTATACTAGACAGTGTTCTGCTATTCATAAGGTTTTCACTGGCCAATTTTTTAAGAAATAGATCACCAGGTCCTTCTCCCAGTTTGTCTTAGTCTGGAAGCTCTGCTGAAACCTGTCCACCATGGGTGATCCTGCTGGTATTCGAAACACTGGTGGCATAGCTTCCAGCATCACTCAAACTACCACAGTACAACAAACTGACAAGATAAGTGGTACCATCTGAAGTTCTTCAGATGGTAATTATAATAGGTCTTAATTTTTTCCTCTAGCATTTGTTTTTACATATTTTCAATATGGGGGAAAATGTGATGTGTGGTTGCTACATCTATTCACTAAACAGAGAATTCTAGTTTCAGAAATCCTGTTCATCTGAATCTAAATAGTATTGATCATATTCTGGAACTGAAGAGGGAGTTAATAATTATTTAGCCCACATATATCAGTTAATTCTCACAATAATGACTCTGTGAAGGAGGCATCATTATCCCCATTTTAAAGATGAGGAAGTCAAAGCTTCAAGAACAAAATAATCTTTCCAAGATCACCAACTACGTAGCAGTTAGAACTGGGATTCAGATTTAAGCCTCATAGATCTTATGCTTGGGTTATTTCCCATATATTGTGCTGCTTCTAAGAAGATAACTTGGGCAAGCTCTGAAGGATAGAATAGGGAGAAGAGTTCCAAGGCAAGCAGACCGGTTAGGAGCTGTGATAGCTTCATCTTACTCCTCCAGATCCTCTCTCTCCCTTCTTCACCCTGGGTGTGCCCTGGAGGTTAATCCACACTGGCTATGTCAGAGAGCTCCCTAGTCCTCCATCTTCTGGTTGGGTGTAGGAGCTCAGAGCGTGGGAGATAATGAATCCTGGTTATTAATCCCCCATCTCCTCCCTGCCGGGTCGCAGTGGGTTGGTGCTATTTCTCTGCATGTAACTACCCGCTCCAGGTTTCAGGAACCTCTTCTGACTATATCCACTTCAGAGCTAGGCATGGAAATGTGTCTCCACTGTGACAAGCCTTGGGGAATTAGGCTACCCCTTAATGGCTTTTCTTCCCCCATCTTTAATAAATATAGTCCCTTTGTTAATTTGTCCTCAAATTAGCTAGTTTGAATGAGCCAATTTTTTTCCTGCTGATGCCTAAGAAGCATTAGTCATTGGAACAACACTGGATGATTTTTAATTTTTTTCACTCTTCTTAGATTCATCGCTTCTCCAACAATTTTTACAGTGATTTGAATGGTGTGATGACAATTCAAGCTAAACCACTTCAGCAGAGACCTACCTATTTTGCAGATAAAACACAGTATGTATAAGAAATAATTACCCAGCCTCTTCCCAATGCTGGAAAACTTGAGCACTAAAGACTACAGGAGACATGGATCTTATTTAATCCCGTGCTTAAGATGTGCCCCAGCACATCCCAGGGGAGGATAGATGTAATGTGGAAGAATTCAAATGTAGTGTTCTAATAGCGACCATTAAACAATCACTATTACATGTTAGGTTGGGGGAGATGAGAAAAGGAAAATGTAACTGTGGACTCTTAAATTTGGGGGCTTTAGTAGTTGATTGCAGACATTGAGAAATTTGCATATTTTTTCCTGTGACTATTTCCATTCATTCAATAGATACTTAGGAATGTCTTCCACGTGCCATCACTGTTCGATGGTACTTGTTGCTGTTGTTAGGTGCTGTGGAGTAAATTCGTACTAGGAGTGACCCCATGTGGGGCAGTAGAACTGCCCTATAGGGTTTTCTGGGCTGTAATCTTTGCAGAGGAGCCCTGGTTGCACAGTGGTTAAACGTTAGGCTGCTCACCAAAAGGTCGGCAGTTGGAATCCACTGGCTGCTCCTTGGAAACCCTATGGGGCAGTTCTGCTGTGTCCTATAGGGTTGCTATGAGTCAGTTGCTATGAATCGACTGGACGGCAATTGGTTTTTGGTTTTTCAGTCTTTATGGAAGCAGATTGCTATGTCTTTCTCCCACGGGACTGTTAGGTGGATTCGAACTGCCAATCTTTCAGTGAGTGACCAAGTGCTTAACCGCCCACCACCAGGGCTCCTTAGACAGTGCCTAAAAAAGAAAAAAAAAAAAAGCCCTTTGCCATCGAGTCGATTCCAACTCATAGTGACCCTAAGACAGGGTAGAACTGCCCCATAGGGTTTCCAAGGAGTGGCTGGTAGATTCAAACTGATGACCTTTTGGTTAACAGCCGAACGCTTAAACCACTGCGCCATCAGGGCTCCAGACAGTACCTAGTGATTGACAAGTGTGAGTTCCCTGTGCTCACCTCGCTGACATCTGATAACTAACTTGATTTCCCTCCCACAGTAGTGAACAGGAGGACAGATCGATGGGTATAGTGGCCAGTGCTCCTTCCTCAGCACAGCACCAACCCAGAAGAACCTCAGATACTCGCGGATTACAGAATTCTGCCAAGAAAACACCCATGCACAGGAGGCTGCCTTCTCTTGCTTCAGATTCACAGAGAATTAAAACTCCCAATGTGTATAGTGACGAAGTTCTTAGGGGAACAAAACTGTAAGTCTTGTTAATCTCATAGTAAACTAAACATTACATAAGACAGAGACGCTTGTCAGTTAGGTACTATGGATTATTATGGCCCAAATATCTTCTAACAAATTTTCCGTGGACCCTTTTTCTAATTAATTAATTTGAGTATTGAACAGTAATTATTTTTTAGTAGTATACTTAGCATATAGGGTCAGGCAGTGTACCTGCACTGGTTTCTTACCAAAAAAACCAAAATCTGTTTCTGTCACGTAGATTCTGATTCACAGGGACCCTAAAGGACAGAGTAGAACTCTCCCGTAGGGTTTCCAAGGAGCAGCTGGTGGATTCAAACTGCAATCTTTTGGCTAGCAGCTGAGCTCTTAACCATTATGTCACCAGGGCCACTACAGATTTCTTAGGTTTGTTATAACAAATTACCACAAACCGCATGGTTTAAAACAACAGAAATATATTCTCTGACAGTTCTAGAGGCGAGAAGTCTGAAGTCCAGGTGTCGGCAGGGCCATGCTCCCTCCAAAAGCTCCAGGGAAGAATCCGTCCTTGCCTCTTCTTGGCTTCTGGTGCTCGTCGGCAATCCTTGGCATTCCGTGTCCTGCAGATGCATCATTCCAGTCCCTCCCTCTGTCGTCACGTGACATTCTCTCTGTGTCTGTGTCTCCATTTTCTCTTATAAGGGCAGCAGTCATTGGATGGAGGGCCCACTCTAACCTAGTGTGGGGCCTTGGTGGTGCAGTAGTTAAGAGCTCAGCTGCTAACCAAAATGTCAGCAGTTTGAATCCACCAGGCGCTCCTTGGAAACCACACGGGGCAGTTGTACTCTGTCCTGTAGGGTCACTATGAGTCAGAATCAACTCGATGGCAATAAATTTGGTTTGGTTTTTAATCTAGCATGACCTCATCTTAACTAATTATATCAGCAAAGACCTTCTTTCCAAACGAGGTCACATTCACAGTACTGGGGGTTAGAATTTCAATATATCTTTTGGGGGACACAGTTCAACCCACAACAATGCCTATAGCATAGGCAGCTAGGCTAATGGAACGCTAATGGCTGGGTGATCTTGGATAGGTCACTAAAGCTTGCTGAGTCTCAATTGTCTCATTTATAAAAGTAATAACTAATTAATACTTTTAAATTAAATAATACTTTTTATTCTGATGTTTACATGAAATAATTATACAAAATGCTTGTAAAAATAAAAGGAATATACACTTATTAGTTTTTATGTTTATCTAAGGAGTTTTCACTCTATGTAGGAAGTTTCAAAAAACCTTTGACTTTGTGGATCATTGCCCAATTAGAAAGGAATTTGTCTCTTCCTTTATTATAGAATTATGAAGTAATCTTCTAGTTTTCTAATTTATTCAAGTATCAGGCAATGTTGTTGTTGTTAGGTGCCATCAAGTCAGTTCAAACTCGTGGCGACTCTGTGTACAACATAGGGAAACCCTGCCCAGTCCTGCACCATCCTCACAGCTGTTGCTATGTTTGAGCCCGTTGTTGTAGCCACTGTGGCAATCTAATGTCGGCAATACTAATGTTAATAATGGCAGCTAATATTTACTGATTGCTTCCTGTGTTACCAGCACAGTGATAAGTGAATTATATTTATTATCTTATTTATTCCCTACCACAAAACTTCTGAGTTGATACTGATATTGTCCCAAATCTAAGATGAGGAAGTGAAGGCTGAAGGAGGTTGAATAACTTACCAGAGCTCATCCCACCAGTGAGGGGCAGAGCTGGAACTCACTCACAGTGCCCTCTAGCTGCAAAATCCACCCCCCTTGAACAATCCATGTGGCTTTCTGCAGCACGGGGGTCGAGTTATTAGAGGGGCTGGGCTTATGTCCCCTGCTGGGGTGGGAGGAGTAATCAGCTTCCAATGGCTAACCAGTAATTGGACTTTTTCAAAATGTATTCATAGCACCACATTCAGCTTTTTGGTTGGTATGTGTTTTTGGCTTTATCCCCACAATTTAGGAGTAATATTACCAGCTGTATTTGAGTCTGTTCATTTTTTCAGAGTATCTCTCCTTATCCGTTATCACTATGACCAGTCTAGGCTGGGCTTCTTCACTCCCTGCCCGTGTCCACATTACTAGCTCTCTCCTCTTTCTCCCAGCCTACCTGGGCTCCAGTTTCAGACTTCCACAAACCTTTTCTATTTCCTGCTGAAACAAATTCAGACTCCTCCAACTGTACCTTCCCTGCGTGTTCTGGCCCCTCCCTTTCAGTAGACCAGTGTTTCTCAAACTTTTTTCATTATTGCCATATGAGGAGCCTTTCTGAACTTTTTTTTAATCACTCCTCCACTCCTGGAATTTTAGTGCCACAGATATACTGTATATCTGTGTTGATATATACTATACATCTGTGTTGATATATACTGTATACCTGTGTTGATATGTACTGTATATCTGTGTTGATACATACTGTACATCTGTGTTGATACATACTGTATACCTGTGTTGATATATACTGTATACCTGTGCTGACATATACATAAAAAGAGTAAGATACTTTTGTTCCTCCCCAAGAACCAGTTTTACCCTCTTGGGGGAGATATCATCCCCTTTGATTATGTGTGCCCCCCCTTCACTTGGTCAGCCTTATCTTCCCTCTATCCCCCAAACACACTAGCTATGCAGTCTTATTTCCATGATTTTGTTCATGCTCTGCCTTTCACTTTTTTTGAAATAAGATTTTTTTCTAATTGTCAGAGATATAAGTTCCCTAGAGTCCCTGGGTGGTGCAGGTGGTTAATGCATTTGGCTGCTAACCAAAAGGTTGAAGGTTGAGTTCACCTAGTGATGCCTAGGAAGAAACACTTGGTGATCTACTTCCAAAAATCAGCCACTGAAAACCCTCTGGAGCACATTTCTACTCTGACACACATAAGGTCACAATGATTCGGGGTTGACTAGATGGAAACTGGAACTGGATGAGTTCAGCATGGAGTATTAGGACAGTACCAAAATATGAGTAGAAATCAAAGATCACCAGTGTGCCCATCACATAGAAATAGGAAGTGTATACCAATCTACTGTTGGAAGATTTCTCACCAATTATCTCTATTATTATATTTGTTCTTTTCTTTCTGTCGTCTTGCTTATAACACTAACATTCTTACCCTTGGGTAATATAACACTTTTTTGTATACTTTTTTCATTTATCATGACATATTTAAATTATATCATTCATATTTTCCATGTAATTAAATATTTTGAAAGCATAATTTTAATGACTATAAAATAGTCAGGTGTATGATAATTTATTAAGTAGTCTTCTGTTTACTGAAGTTTCCTTTTTCCTATCTTTTCACTATTATAATGAGCAGTGAACATCATTTAAAATAAATCTTAATAAGGATGCTATTAAATTGTTTCCTGGTGGTGCAATCTTAGAAGTAAAGATATCAGGTCAAAATTATGAATATTTTTAAGGCTCTTGATCTCCTTGGCAGATTGCTTCCCCGAGTGGTATACTAATTTATAATTCCACTGGCAATACTTGAAATTATCGCTTTATTTGCAGCCTCTGAATTTTAGGTACTTATTGGGTTTCAAAACTGATAGTTTTATAGGTCAAGATAATGATATTTTAACTTTCATATATTTACTATTAATGAATAATTGAATTAGAATCTGTTTCTTGAATATCTACCTCTCCTCTTACACAAGAACCAGACGCTTTAATTTTTGTACCTTAATATCTGGTAGAGAAGGTCTCCTATCATTATTTCTCCTTTATTAACATTTACTCTCACCCATCGTGACCAATAAACTTTAAAATCAATTTTGTCATATTCCCCCTAAAAAAAAAAGGAATCTCATGGGGCCTCATTTGCCTTCATAGCATTAATCTATAAAAAACTGTAGGAAAAACTGACATCTTCAAGACATTTAATATTCTCATCAAAGAATGTATTTTTCCTCTGTTGTTTATGTCTCCTCCACATCCTTTGTGAAGTTTTATATTTTTTCTCATCTACTCACTGCACATTTATTATTAATTTTTTTCTTATATATTATGCCTTCACTGGCAATTCTCTCCCATTTCCCCATCCCCCACCCTCTTTGTTTCTTCTATCCCTCAGTGATTGCACCATTCTCTAAATTTCTACAGTGCTGACAGTCAGAACCTACACTGTAGCATTTTAGTATATGCTATGTTGTATTGTTCTCTAGTTACTTCATATGTTTTAGTCTGGTTTTCGATAAGTCATAAGCTTCTTCAGAGCAAGAGCTAGGTCTTCAGTCACTTCTGTGTTCCCTACCATTCTGGGCACACCTGAGCACTCAGGAAATCCAGATTGACAGTCACTGCTCAATGAGGAGAACAGGGCTGAGGCTGGTGGGCCCCCCTCATGTTTGTCTTCTGGAAACTTAGCTCGTTCTCCTTTAGCATTTCTTTTGGGAGGCTGGTTGTGATTAATAGCCTAGATCAGGAGCTTTGGGTCAGGGCGTAGCTCTCTGCACCTGGGTGCTCAGTTACATGTTGTTGTGCTTACAGGCAAACTGGCACAGACCACATGCCTTCCCCGGTTCAAACCTCACGGAGCCGGTTACCCCCAATAGGCTCAGAGACTGGTGAGCAGAATGCAGCAGCTCTTGGATCCCACCCTGTTTCTGTAAGACAGATTTCATTATACTTAAGTGCACCACTTAGCTAGCCAACTGGGAAACAGACAGGATAATGTTGGCACTTCCAAGTGAAATCAGTAACATTAAAGAATTGCTATATTCAAAATGCCTTCATAATCTGCCTCCTGTAAGTAAATGGCTCGTGTGAATTTACAGGGGGTAGGGGGACTAATTCACTATTTTGTGAAATAAAAACACAGCTTGAACTACATTGGAAAGTCCAGGTGTCAGGAAGTCTGTGATGAGCAGGACCGTGTAGGGAAGAAAAGAGCATGGATTAGCTCAGAGGACAGGCAGGTCCGTGTCTGGATCCTGCCATGTACTCTACATGATTTGGTACAAGCTACTCCCATCTCTCTGAGCCTTTGTTTTCTCATATGTGAAAAGGAAATCGTAATTTCTACCTCAAAGTATTGTTGTATGTATTAAATGAACTAATATATGTTAAATAATTCCAGATAGAAATTAAGAGCTCAATAATTTACCCTTGTCGTTTGCATTAGCTCTTATGTTTAAAGACAAACTGCCAGGTTTATTGCAGTGTAGAGCCCTGGTGGTGCGGTGGTTAAGAGCTCAGCTGCTAACCAAAAGGTCACCAGTTCAAATCTACCAGTCACTCCTTGGAAACCCTACGGGGCAGTTCTACTCTGTCCTATAGGGTCACGGTAAATTGGAATTGACTCAATTGCAATGGTTGTGTTTTAGAAGCTATACCTTGTTCACCCAAGCTCAACTCAGACAGGCAATCAGTTGTGAAAGGTCTGGGGAAAGTATGGTGCTGGTAGTAGGCATAACCATGTTTCCCCCGTATTTGTAATGACGCTTCATATACCTGTGATACAGGTGTCCTGAGTGTATCTTATAAAACAAAGAAAGACCCCAGTTGTGGGAACATAAAGTCCTAGAGGGAATACCCTGTAGGCAAGGGTTTCTCTTGCCTTCCATTTGCCACTGTTGAGCTTGCCCTGGAAGAACTGTTAACAGCAATAGAACCCGTTCCCAGAAGGTAAGAGTTGCAAAGCATTAATGTTTAACTTCAGAATATTGTGGCTTGGTGTGAAACAATAAAAGAAAGCCAACATCACATAAAAAGAGTCTGATGCTTCACAAGTGCAGAATTACATTTCTGTTACAATTCAGTGTTGAGAATTTCATTGGCTTAGATTGTTTTTTTAAATTCCTACTTACATATTTATGACACATTTTTTATTGGGTTCAATAATGTAGTTGCATAATTAAAATATATTTATATATTTGTCCTTAGTAAGCCTTATACTTATCAGTATCTGAATTAATGTTTTCAAGTAAGTGAGTGAATGAATAAATGAGTGAATGATTGAAGCATATGTGGATTTTTTCGTCTTTTTAAGCGTTTCATTTATTTCAAACAAGAACGTGTCATCCTTCATTTAGTACAGAGGAAAGAATCCACCAAATCGTGTGTTAAGTGCGATTCCTGGCAGTACAGAACCAGCACCTCTCCGAGAAAGAACTGTTATTATGGACCAGTTTTCAAGGCCCAGCACAACCCATACATTCCGGGTGGGTCCTCTGCTAGCCATCAATCAGATTTTAGAAAATATGTTTGGGGGAAGAAAAAGTCATTCCATCATTTTATTTTCCTTTCAACAGTCGGATACGCCTCAAAAAAGTTCATTGACGCCAGTGGAGTTTGCTGGTCACAAGTGGACAGGTCAAAATTTTCTGACAGGTAACGTTTCTCTATTTTAAACAAGATGATGTAATTTGTGAGATTTCAAGCTTATGAAAGAGAAACTGAAGGTTTTCTGTTTTGATAGGCCTCTTTTTGATCACAAGCAGGAGCTGTAGCAGGAATTTGAGGTCTCTGGCCAGACAGCAGAAGCCTCCACAGAGAGCAAAACCACACTGACAAGCATTTATCTACGGTTAGGTTGAAAAGAAGGAAATGCCCTTGTGCTCTCAATTAACCTAGGGGCTCACGCTCCTTAAAAAAAGGGAAATGATGTCTTATGGGAAGCCACTCTCTCTTTCTGCTACAGAGTTGACATGCTTTTCTGCTAAATGAAACTCTCATTTTAGATTATCTCCAAAAATCTAATTATTAAAATGCATGAGAAAATCACTAGAAATTTGCTGATTATTGTATAACATATATAACATGCATTGTTGCCATCAACTTGTTTCCAACTCATAGAGACCCTATAGGACAGGGTAGAACTGCCCCATAGGGTTTCCAAGGAGCAGTTGGTGGATTTGAACTGCTGACGTTTTTGTTAGCAGCCCGTCTCTTAACCACTGCACCACCAGGGGTCCTTTATAACATAGGTTTACAGAGAAGTACTTGCTCTCAGCCTGGTATGCTATTTGGAAAACAAAGTTCCAGTTTGAATACAGAGCCGTTACCAACATTTGGAGGCAACATAGCGTTGGCATGAGGTGTGCAGCTCTGGAGTCAGATGCCTGGTTACAATAGTGCTGTACCACTTACTCGCTGTGCAATCTTAGAAATGCTTAGTACTCTCTGTGCCTCAGTTTCTTCTTTGATGATAAGGTGGATGAGGAAAATAACTACTGGAGAATGGATGAAAAGGCTCTAGCTCAGTACCGAGCAGATTGCTGTTGTTAGTTGCCATCAGGTGAGTTGCTACCCACAGTGACCCCATGTGTGCAGAGGAGAACTGCTCCATAAGGTTTTCAGTGGCTGTGACTTTTCCAAAGCAGATGGAGGTGCCTCTAGGTGGGTTTGATACACCAACGTTTTGGCTAGTAGTCGAGCACTTAACCATTTGTGCCAGCCAGGTTAATCACACATTACTCAAAAATTGTGAACCATTTGTATTATAGATAACTGGAAATTTAAACGATATTTACTGTTTCAATGGAAATTTTTAATATATTATAATAAAAAATCTAGTAGAATTTAAACATTTTAGTAACTCATGTTTATCACTTTTTATATCACTACTCATCCTGTTCTATAGTGTGGTGATGTATGGGATTATTTAGTCCTTTAAGATTTTCCCCTTAAGCTCATAGCTCCAGACTGCTCTGCCTTTTATTGTTTTTCTCTTGTATGTTCCCTGTCAGTATTAGCTGTCATGTCGTTGACAACAGTTCTTTCTCTAAAAGTTAGTCGTGCTGCCTTCCAGCAAAATGGCTCTCTAGGCAGAAGCACCACACTGTCCCTCCACAGCAAAGATCCAGAAAACTAAGCCAAACAGAGAAAATAGCAATCCTGAAACCCTAAAACATCAAATGAAGAGATAAAGAACTCAGCCAAGCACCAAATGGAGTGAGAAAACTGACAGAGAACAGAGAGCGAGGAGAGATTCATGCAGAGGTCCCCTATCAGCTGAAACAGCACGGATCCACCATCTTGCACTCCTGTCGGAAACCAGCAAATAGGGGGTACGAGAAAGCAGCTTCACGGAGCTTCCAGCAGGAGACAAAACAACCAGTAATTTGCGATATATGCTTTCCCACCCCCCACCCTTCTTCACCCCCAATCGGCCTCCTCTGCTTCCCGCGGCCACAGTCTCTTGTCTGGGAAGCACCGGCTGCTTCGATTCAACCCGCCCCCACTGGCTGGCTCTCTGAGTGCCATTTGTTGGCTGCTGGTGTTGCTTTTTTTCTGCTTCTTTTGATTTCTTCCTAACCTCTCACCACCGGCCCCTCCTTTCGCTCAAATACCTGGCTCTGTGCACCATCTTTGCTTCTTCCTGAGGGGCTGCAGAGCTCCGTTCAAGTGTGGAACTGCTTCCGGGTCCGGGCTGCCACGCTGCTGGGATCCTGGGGCTTTTGTATGTTTCTTTGTTTTGAATTGTTTGTTTGTTTTCTTTTCCTTTTCTTGAGTTGGGAGCCCATTCTGGCCAGGGGACGCTGCACGGCTTGGAACCTACCCCCTTGGCTTGTGCAGAAACCCAGAGGGATCCCTGAGGGCATTTCTTTTTTGCTGGGTTTTTTTTCTTTTGTATGTTTTTTGGGGGGCTTTTCTTGTTCTTTTTTTTGTTTTAAACTTGTTTTGTTTTCTTTTCCCTTGTTTTCCCCTTTTGTCCTTCTTCATTACTCAGTTTCTCATCTCTCTATACCTTCCTTCTCTTTCTGTTCTCTGAATACCTGGTTCTGAATACCTCTACGCCTTCTAGCCAGGCTGTACAACAACAACTGAGAACAACTTCCCCAGACCTCGTAGCAGCACCGGTGGGATCCCTGGGAGCTTTGCTATTCTTTTTCCTTTTTGATTTTCATTTATTCATTCTTTTCTTTTCTTTTTCTTCTTCCCCTTTTTGTTTTTCTCCATTTCATAGTCTCTCATCTCTCCACTCCAATGGCAAGCTCCCCTAGCACTCTTTTTTGTTTGTTTCTATGTTGTTGGCTCCCGTTCCTCTCTCCTCTCTCCCATACCATCTTAGCTCCACACATAAGAATCTCCCCCCTACATCCTGCCTACCTGCACCGTGTGCTTAACATCACACCACCAAGCAGCACAGGCACAGCCTACTGGAACCTGCCCTGCACTGATTACCGACCTGCCTTGGTGGCTGTAGAAAGTGCCACAAACAACCTGTCCCAGCAACTCCTCTTCAGCTAGACCTGCCCTGATGTACCATATCTGAGCGAATGACCCTGCCAATTGGAGAAGAAGGCTAAAAGCATTGTGCCCACAGATGAGCAAACAACAAAGAACACACAGCCCACCTGCTCAGACATAGCCAAATGAAAAAAAAAAGGACAAAACAAACAAATCTACAATCAATAAACGAGAAAAATAACTACTGAATGCCCCAAAGACAGCAGACAATATCAAAACATTTACAAAAACAAGACAGGATGGTTCCAGTAGGCATTCAAAATAAAACACCAGATGACTCTCCAGTGGAAGAAAAGGCACTAGAACTAATTGATAGGGAATTCAAATCTCTAATACTCGGAATTATCCAAGAGTTGAAGCAAAAAGCAGACAAAAATGAGGAAAAAATAGACAAATTCTTGGAAAAGGCAGATAAATTCATGGAAAATACAGACAAAAAATTGGAAGAATTCAGGAAAATAATGCAGAAACAAAATGCTAAAATAAATTCACAACTAGAAATTATACAAAAACAACAATTAGAAATCCAAAAGATAAACAACAAGATTTCAGAAATGGATGGTGTCATAGAAGGGCTGAGGAGCAGATTTGAAACGGTGGAAGACAGGATCAGTGGAATTGAAGACAAACACTT